CCAGGAACCAATACACAGGACAGTACAGTATTCTCTTGCAGTGCTGGGCTATAACAGAAATCTACAGCACCCAGTCAGCCCTGTGATTATGGCAGTAAACAACCAATTCTCTGACAAAGTTCTATTGCTAAGCTATGATATTCAGTAGATTAGGTGTATTAAATGCATTATCAGTTTACAACATCTATAATTTATGATGGTTTATTGAGACATAATCCTAAAGCAGAATGAGGAGCATCTGTATTTTGATTTTCATTCATGATTCCTGGTTCATAGCTCCTATAGCCCTTGTAATTGTCACATAACTAGAGCATTAAGAGTGTCTTTTTTAAAGATATTTGACCTTTGGTCCTTGATTTTTGAAACACCTCCAGAATATCTTCAGAATGAGAAAGGTAAAAGGCAGTCTTGTTCAGCCACACTTGAGTTTATATAAATGAGGTGATTTTTGGACAGTCCCTAGATGACCACAGGATGGCGTGGAGTGCCAAGGGGACCAGTCAGTGTGCTCAGAGGCTTGGAAGGGAACTCATGGGAGCAGAAAGAGGTTGAAGGTTGAATTAATGACTAATGAACAATGATGCAATCAATCATTCCCTACTTCATGAAGCCTCATAAAAACTCAAAGAATTGAGTTTAAGGGTTTCTAGAAGGGTGAGTAAGGACATCCATGTGCAGGGATGGAAGCACCTGTGCTCAGGATCCTTCTAAACCTTGCCCTATGTATATCTTCACTGAGTTGTTTATTTGTATCTTTTAAAACACAAGTCCCAGGGCCGGGGATCTAGCTCAGTGGTTCAGCCCCATCTCGAAAGCACAAGGTCCCGAGTTTGATCCCCAGTACCAAAAAACAAGAAAAAAAAACCAAAGCACAAGTCCCAACACCCCCACCACACACACACACACACACACACACACACACACACACACACACACAATAGGTCAGGAACCTAGGCTTCATGGCAGGAGGTGAGCTGTGAGCAAGGAAATCCTGTGAACTGCACATGCTCCCGAGAGAAATCTAGGTGAAGAAGTCCCCAAACTATCTGTATCCTCATCCCACCCACTCCATCTGTCTCTGTGGGAAAAAAATGTCTTCCATGAAACTGGTCCCTGGTGCCAAAAAGGTTGAGGATCACCTTTAAAATATTCTTTGTAATAAACTAATAGATAGAAAAATACAGACAGACAAGGAAGTTCTAAGAGTGGCTCCTGGACCCCTGATAACCAATTATATCATTCATCATCAATAATGTGACAAGATCCATGCTTTCAGCCCTGAATGTGCAACTAATAATTGTGTTAACTGTAATATGGTTGCTAATTGCTATTGCTATTTTTAAAAAACAGCTGTTTGTTCACTGACCTCTAATCAAAACAGCCCCACTCTTCCCACATAGTCTGGGAAAGGTTTCCTAGTGTCAAGGAGAAAAGGTTATCCCTGAAATGGTACAGAGTGGATGATCCCAAATTCCTGGAATGCAATAACTTCTAAAACAAATGAATTGTCATGAGGTGAATGAACAGGCTCAAAAGAATTTGAGGAATTCCAAAGGTAGATAAAAGCAGGGGACAAAATAAATCAACTTATACTTTCTAGCTTCAGATAAACTCATCATAGAAAAGATAACTTGCAGTTTTTCCCAGTTCTATACTCTCTTGAATCTGTTACCATTCTCTCAAATTTTGCATATGAATACTGTACATGTGATTTTAAAAGAAAAATGTAATCAGTAAAAACTTAAATTTAAACCTCCCTTACTAGCATTCTAATTTTTATGGATTATTTAGAGCTCGCTAATTATTTGGGAGCTCTGCTGTCAGCCTTAAAATTAAAAATAAATAAATACAAACAAAGTAATAGTTATATACATTTGGGAAAGAAATATATAGAGCTAGATTCATGTATTTATGAGTCTTCATACATATTTATAGAGAAAGATTATAAAAATAGATTTTTAAAAAATTCTAAACATACGTGTCCCTCTTTGATAGATCAAAAATAAAATAATTGTATTTAAATAAATCACTTCTTACTTTCTTAATTCCTATTCCAAAGGGCACTATTAGCAGGTCACTATTAATTTGGAAGCATATAATCTGTGTTATTGTGAAGATATTTTATCATTTCAGTTTTATCAGTCCTCTTCAAATTTGTCTTTTTGGTACATTTGTTTGCATTTTAAGAAGTATTATTAAATAGTACACTAGAAATTTAGTTCTAAAAAACATAGTGCAGTATGTTGGTGGCAAGTAGTATTAAGAAAAATATGTTTCAAAAAGTTCGGGAGAAGGAATTAACTAGAGATTTCCACAGAGAACAGAAAGGTATTAGGTATTTAGCATATTTAAATGGGAAGATTCTAAATCTAAGAGCCAACTTATGGGAAAAATTTCAAACTTTAGTGCAAAAGACCAAAAAAAAAAAAAAAATGAACATCAGGAGTTAGTGGGACCTATGTAAAAAGAACCAAAAAATTGCAATTTGGATGTATTACTAAGCAAACTGACACCTATACAACTAAAGTTTACAAAGGTGCTTAACACATATGATCTTGTTCACTCACAACAGCTTTGTGAAGTGTTTAATGTATTATTCTAGTTTTACAGTTGAAGTAGCCACACTGTTTTCTGAATACAGCAAGACAAGGAAAAGGGTAATGTTACTAGGAATAAAGCTGAAAAAGAACTGAAGGAAGCTGGAGCTTATGATAAAGCCTGTAGTAGCTAATGGAGGAGAGAAGAGGGCTGTCTGCTGAGCTGAAAGGTATGCCAGGCTGTGCAAAGCATTCAATGTGGAGCAAAACATAGAGCAGAAAGAGCTCTTCAGTAAGACAGATGACCTGGGTAGAGAAATAAGAAAGATTCTCTTTTCCCAGAAATATACAGATGCTGTAGCTTTGACCTTCTTTGAGTGTTTGTTAACTTGAAAGGGGGATTTGAGAACTCTGGTCTGGCTGCAGATTAAAAGCCCATACAGTTTCTGAAGGGGATGAAATTTTATTTTTTATAAGAGATTTTTGAAATGTTTTCTAAAATAATTGAAACAAGTTTTACTTTTTTCTTTCTTTCTACATTTTCCCCCAAAGTAGAGAGAGAATGGATAATAGCCAAGAATATAGCTTTATGTATAATTTATGGGAACTGGCCAGACCTTCAATATGCCACCCAAAAATTAAAACGTGGACACTCATCTCTTTTTTTATAGGTATGTTACCTTTCAAAAATCAAAATTACAAAAATTGTTGGAATATTTTGCTATTATGACCTGTGAAGAATTCATTTTTTTTGCTGTTTGGATTTTGAGAGCTTTTGTAAAATCTTTTTTTTAGAAATATAATCATTGAAGTTCTGAGGCAGTTGCTAAAAGACAGTGCTGTCAGTGTCATTTCTTTGTACATTTGGGGTTGCTGAGCTATCAACAGTATTAGAAGGGAAAGAGGGAAGAAGGAAAGGAAGGAGGGAGGGAAGAAAGGAGAGAAGACAGGAGAGGAGGGGAGAGAAGAAAACAACCAAAAAAAAAAAAAGGTTTATATTGCTTTCTTCTATTCCTTGGACAATTTACGCATGCAATGGCTTTCACTTCTGGATGGTCAGTGATGGAAGTGCTTTGCTGTGGTTTGAACAATTGGTGATGATTGTATTTGTTGCTGCTTGGCACCGTTTGCCTTTCCCTAAGATTGAGGGAGCACGCAGACCTATGCGAGAGAAAGGGGAAAATGAATGGAAAAAAGAATGAAGGTCAAGTTGACCACGCCAGGCTCCTTGGGGGAGTCTTTTCTTCTGTTTGGGCCAAGGGGATGAGCGCTGTGACCTATGAATGCTTGGAGGTGAGAAGGGGAAAGCACTCTAATAAAAGGTTCCGGGAAAGAGTGCGGGCGACCTAGGGAACTGTGCTGCGGTCAAGTTCAATCCTGGGAAAAGAGGCCCAGGAGAAAGCAGATGAGAAAGATAGGAAGGAAGACAGGGAGGGGGAGACGCTGGGTGCGGAGGGGGGAAGGGGCTGGGGTGGGAGCCTGAAAAGTGAGAGGGAGTAAGCACTAATTGTGGCTAACATCACTGGGTTGAGGACCAAGAGGTGGGGAAAAGTGAAAGTCCAGGAGGATAAGGCAGAGCCCTGCGGACCGGGACAGGACAGGACCCTTGGCCGGGCAGGCGGCGGCGCGGGGCAGCGAGGGCAGCTTGGCTCGCCTGGGCCCCCTTGGCAGCCTCAGGCGTTGGCTCCTCGGGGCTCCCTCCCTCTCCCGCGCATTGTTCCTTTGCCGGGAGACGAGGAAATTGCCTTTTGATTGCGGAAGTCCGCGGACGGGACTCGGGGCGAGGCAGCGCGGGTCAGAATGGCAGCGTGGGAAGGGCTGTGCGCTGCCTGTCCCCGCCGCCCGTCGCGTCCGCAGCCCGCCCGGGGCGGCAGCAGGAGCGGGAGCAGCGGTGGCCCCAGCGGGTCGCTGGCCCCGAGGGAAACGCGCTGAGTCCGCTGGGCGCGCTGAGCGCGCAACAAGTGGCTCCCACGCTCGCCCTCGGTTCAGCCTGGGTCTCAACCACTGAGCGCAATGCTGAGCCATGGAACCGGACTGGCTTTGTGGATCACACTGAGCCTACTGCAGGTGAGTGGCCCAGACAAGGGATGGAGGGCTGATGGCCCTTCCCACCAAGCACCAAATTCCACTCTACTTTTCGCTCTACCAGGTCCTGCTTTGATGGGGAGATGGCAACATTTCTTCTTTTAGGAAGACCCGTCCTCTCCTGAAGCCCCCGCTCAAACTTGGAACTTATCCTGATGTCAAAAGCAAAAGCCACCTTCTCTCTGGCTACTCCTGCGGGAGAGCAACTAGGAAGAAAGTTGCCATGGCATTCTCTATACCCTCACGCCCAGCTGGAGGGCAAAGGGACCGGGCTGTGGCTGTGGCAGGGATGAGTGGAGGGGACTGGAGTTTGCTGAGGACAAGTCCCTGGGCAGTACAGACTGCGGGCTTAAACAGTGGTCTCTGATTCCTTTGCAGACTGGGCTGGTGGCGTCAGCGAGATGTAACTTCACCCTGACAGAGTCCAGGGTCTCCAGCTTGTGGGTGTCTGTCCAGTGGAGAACTTTAGGGTCACCCTGTAATTTTAGCGTCATCTACAGCAGTGACACCTCAAGGTCCGTGTGGTGCCGAGTCACTCGGATAGACAACACCACCTATGGATGTAATCCCAAAGATCTACAAGCTGGAACCACCTACAACTTCAGGATTGTTTCTCTGGATGGAGAAGAGAGGAGTGTGGTCTTGCAAACAGGTAACGTGTGACAGGTGTAGCTGGATGACCAAGCCAAACCTGGGCTGGGACCTGCCTTCCACCCAATGTTCGTGTGAGTTCCAAGCATGCAAAAAAATAAAAGTAAAAATACCTGTGAAGGTAAATATTGCCAAGGATTTCTATTCTGCTCAGATCTGGCTAGAAGCAGCTTGGTTAACTTGCAGACTCCTTTATTGCTGAAAACAGCAGGAAGAGGGAGAGGGAGAGGGCTGCAGCAAAAAGAAACCTTGGGCTGTGGAAGGAGTTTGTTAAAGTGATGTGGTTTGCACTTCCATCATGTTAAATTGTCAAACCCTGGAATAATTCTAAGGAAATGTTTTTAGAATAAATAATGAAAGTGCCATGATTAAGGATATGCCTTTCCTCAGTTTAGTTTTCTTTTCAGAACCAACACATAAAATCTTTAGGAGTAGAGTAAAGTTATTCATAGAAAAGTTCCTTGAAAGGGGTGCACAAATTATTTTATATCCCTTGAATACCTAAAACAGGGTGTATTTGAGAGCATTCTTTGATTGCTCGGCACCTCAAATCGATTATTTTTCTTACACTTGGTAAATCCGTTCTTGTATGTGGTGAGTTTGTCTATCTTGTCTCACTTCTCTTATCTGTAAAATGAGAGTGGTAGACTAGGTCTTTCAGCGTTCAGTCCTTATGAAGTACAAGGGCTGTCATGTATATTACCTCATTTAATCCTTCCAGCTACCCAAAGATGTGTTCTACATTCCCTGACTTTGATGTTTTGTGACTTCATAAGTCTTTAATTGTATCTCAATTTGTGCAAAAGTAAAGCCCTACTTTCAGCCAGAAATTCAAATTTATGTGAAAAAAATCATAACAGTTAAATTTAGAAATGCATTATCCTTGCTATTTGTTCTCATTTCAACCTAAACAAAAATTGTTTCTTTAGCTATAGTTCTTCAAAGAGGAGTGAGAGCAATCAGTTTGAAGGGCAGTCATAGCCTGCCAGGAAATTTAACTAGGCTCATGTAACCAAATATTAAAACTTTTATTTGTTTCAAAGAAAACAATCCATAATGCTCAATTATACACTCGACTTGCTTCAGATGAAACTTTTACATAATTTATTAGAAATGTAGAAACTTAAATTGAAAAAAGTATCTACTTGTTAAGTATATACTTGTTATTTGTATGAAACTAAAAGGAGACTAAAATCAACCCCATAATCAGAACATTTTGCAGAAGTTTAAGTGGCTGTGTTTCATTCATAAAATTGTTGATTTCTTGGTATTTGAAGACAATTTTGTGAAAATGCATATTACTAGCACTACGAAATTTATAGCAGAACTTTCATATGTGTTAGTTATATTTGAAAAGGTGTCTAGTCAATTGTGTGTGTTCAATGTAGGAAAGCAATTTGTGAAAAACAGGTGAGCTTTCAGAAGCTTATTGGAGAAAACATGAAGACCTTAAGAAGCCAGAATGCAGTTGTTTAACCCAAAGGATTTACTTCCTGGAAAAATGATAAGAGAAAAAGACTCAGTAGGGGTAATGCTAGTGTAGAATAGGTTTTGAGTTTAGTTATGCAGGTAGGTGTTGCAAATCCAGAGACATTTGTGAAATATAAGAAATATTTGCATCTTATTGACTAGGTTGAGTAAAACAGGACTTCAGCAGCAGCTACAGTGTGTTGGCATGTAGGATCTCACCATGCTTCCCAAGCAGGTACCTTTTACGAGGATTTTTCTCCACACATTTTATGAGCTTAAGGTTAAACATGAAGGATAAATATTGCAGATAGTGTTCAAATCATGATGATTTTTTTTCCATACTTACTTGCATGATGGTGTAACCCTTCTTAAAATTCTGTACATTTTAAAATAAATATTTAAATATTTAAATAAAATATATTTTAAAAAACTTTTTAAAAATTAAGATATTTTAAAAATTGTTTCAGGGAGGTTATTTAAATAGTTGCTAATTATTTTTTATTTTACAATAGTTCTTTCTATATTTTAAGACGTGAATTTTTCATTTAATCAAGAGAAAGTACTAATATTCTTCAGTATTAATTCTAAGCTACAGAGGTGACGTCCAATCATATTTTACTGTTATTAAAGCAATGGCAATGAGTATAATATTAAGTCTAAGACAAATTTAAACAAAAAAGTCACTCAAAATGTATGTGCTTTCTTTATTACATTTTGCCTGGCTTATCAGTCTAGAATAAAAATAAGACATGATTTAGATAGAGATATAGTAGTTGCTCACATGATTTCCATATCATTCTATCATTTTTCTAATGATTTTTTCCAATAAAGTATCTAAAATACCTTAGTTTGGTGTCATAGAGATCTAACCTTAAGGATAAAAATGTCTAATTGAATGAGTAGTATTTTAGCAAGAATCACCACTCTGACTTTAAAATCAGAGTTGAAAAATGTGGATTCAAATTCAATTCAGCAAACATTTATTGTGCATGATAGTACAGGGAACAATGGCACATAAAGATTAGTGAGCTTATAAAGATGAACAAAAGGAAAACTCTGCCCTTATAGTCTTGAGCAGATGCCAGAGAAGGTTATGATGAAGATGGCAGCAGGACTTTACCACACCTTCCTGAGTGAGGTCTTGCCCAGCCTCATGTACACCATGCTGTCATGACTATAGAGGGAAAGCTACTTGGCAATTCTCAGATCTATTTGGTCATTAAATCATCAATGTAAAAATAATGTCCTTTGAAAGTCAAATCATTTAGTTACAAGTCCATCAGAAATAACAAAATGAACATGCCAAATACTGAATAACAACACTTTTGAAAGACTTGGGGTCTAGAATAGAGGCTGCCTCTGGGGATATGGGATCAGTGGCATTAAAAATGGAAAATTCACATAAAAATCCAAATATATGAATTCTCTTAAATTATTGGAAGATTTGGCAAAACTATCTACCTAGAATTCTATAGAGCTGAGTTGCAGCTTTTCATTCTAGATACCAACTTACTGGAATACCACTTCACTTATTTCCTTACTTGAATACACCCTAAGGACATTTGAATTTGTGACTTCTTTAGTTTTCATTTAGAGCTCTTTTTTTTTTACCAGCAATATAATACAGGTTTCCACTTAATATATATAGTAGTTATTCAATAAATATTGTCTGAATGGATGGATGAACAGATTGAATGGATGGATAGAGGAATAGAAAGATAGAGAGAGACAGAAAGAGAAGAGATGAATTAATGAAATGAATATTTTATGGAATAATGTACACAAGTAAAAATATCAAACCTTCTTTGTCAATAGGTACATGATAGAGCTCAGGGAAATAGAGTAGAAGTAGAAAACTTTATAAGAAGTTTCTCAGTGACATTTGCCTTCTTGTTAGTTGGTTTCAGTTATTTGTTAATCAGCCTCCAAAACAAGGTCCAAAAATACCTTCAAATGACTTAGTTATTTTAATAAGGCTAATTCCTTTGTCTTTAATTTAAAAAAATTGGACAGACTTTAATTATCAAGTCGCCTTACTAGCAATTATTTCCACAGAAAAATGTATATTATACTAGTCGGCTATGGTGACTTAAAAACAGAAGTTTATTTTCCACAGTCCTAGAGGCTGGAAGTTCAAGGTCAAGGTGTGTGCAAGCTTCGTTTCTTCTGAGGCTTCTCCCCCTAGTTCACAGATGGCTGCTTCCTACTGTGTCTTCACATGGTTGTCCTGAGTGTGTCTGTGTTCTCAGCTCCTCTTCATGAAGGACACTAGTCATAGAGTAAGTCCTCCATCCCCAGCAAAACCCATTGTAACTTACTCACCTATTTAAAGGCTTTGTGTTCAAATACAGTCTCAATCTGAGGCTTTTTTTTTTTTTTTTGGTACCGGGGATTGAACTCGGGTCCTTGCGCTTGCAAGGCAGGCAGCAGAATTACTGAGCTAAACCCCCGGCCCAAGCTGAGGCTTTATAGCATCAACAAATAAAACTTGGTAGAGACAGAGTTAAGCCTATAACATTTATAAAGCTTTAAATGTAAGTGATTATTTCTCAAAATTGCAAGTTAATTGCATCAAATGTCTTGCAGAGCTTGTTATTAAAATATTTCTGATTTCCACCTTACATGGACTGAATTTTGAAGAAAAGGAGTTGGGAGAAATCTCCATTTTAAATATCAAAGTGAATCAATGCACACTGAGGTTCAAGAGTTATTGACATAATGTTTGTGTTATTCTTTAGCATTAAGATTTTGGTACTATGTCTCTTTAAACATAGCTAAATCTATGATGCCTAGTAATATTTATTGTCTTTTCCAGAAAAGGAAAAAATAATACTTTTGTGCTTATTTTATAACATATAGAACATTTTTGCCTTCTATATTTAGTTTGTAAACGTATAAAATATACATTATACTGATCATATATTGTTTGATTTTTTTCCCATGCCAAACCTGTGAAGAGGGTTTGAAGTTGAGTTAACACCGCAGGTCTGTTTCTAATTATATAATGGGGATGATGATGATACTGCCTACTTTACATGATGTTAGAGGATTGTAATTGTTCCATACAAACAACCTCGAATAATTTTTATAACATACTAAGTATGTAGTAAATTCACAATTATTACTTTCAGGTTAGATATGAAATTTCTAAGAACTGATAATTATCACAAATTTTCACAAATCTACACAGCTAATATATAATACAGTCAGAACTTGATCCCTGGTTAACTGACTCCAACTCTAATATTCTGTCCACTATTCTGAAGAAAGAATATTATTTTTTACTTGGTATTAGTTATTTCCAAATTGATATTTTATTACTTTCCAAGAGGACAAATACATCACAATATATCTTAAATCTGCATGTTCTGTGCCTACATAAAGGGGAAATAATGATTAAATGTGAACCACCAATGATTTTCAGTTGTGTTAATTGGCAATAAGCTATTTGCAGTCTGTATGTTTCAGGAACTTTAAGGACCAGGTGATCTATGTACAGAGGTTTAAGAAGTCCACTTAAATTTGTCCAGG